AAAAAGTCGGCTGCACCCCGCTTCAAAATAAAAGTTTACTTTTGTGGTGCGGTGCCAGCGCTCGGGTTTAAAAATTATTTAAAAATAATTAGAGGCCGGAACTCTTCTTGAAACCTATGAAAATCATTGGAACTATTGCAGAGCTACAGGAAAATGCGAAAAAGTCGGCAACACCTCGCTTTAAAATAATAGTTTACTCTTGTGATGCGGTGCCAGCGCTTGGGTTTAAAAATTATTTAAAAATAATTAGCGGCCGGAACTCTTCTGGAAACCTCTAAAAATCATTGAAACTATTGCAGAACTGCAGAAAAATGCGAAAAAGTCGGCTACACCCTGCTTTTAAATGATAGTTTACTCTTGTTGTGCGGTGCCAGCGCTCGGGTTTAAAAATTATTTAAAAATACTTAGAGGCCAGAACTCTTGCTAATACCTATCAGGAACTATAGAACTTATCGAGAACTGTAAGATTATGCCATTGAAATGATTTTTTTTTAAAGTTGCGGTGCTATGGGAAGTTGGCACCGTATATTTTCAAAGTGCCATTTTTTTATCAAATTCGGCGGAACTATTGCTATAACCTATCAGGAACTGTAGAACTATTGCGGGTGCAAATAGAACTTGCATTAAAACTTGCGGTGCAAAAAGATGCTGTGCCAACTTCACACACGTAAGAATGTTCAGCACGACACTTTTTCCAAAAGTGTCGTGCTAAGTTCGAAGATTAAAAAATTATTTAAAAATAGTTAGCAACCGGAATTCTTCTTAAATTTAATGGTAAGGACTAGAACTCTGTTAGAACTGTCGAGAACTGTTGTTAAAAGTGCAAGAATTGTTCAACACGACAATTTTTCCGAAAGTGTCGTGCTAACTTCGAAGATTAAAAAATTATTTAAAATAGGTAGCTACCGGAACTTTTCTTAAATTTTATCGTAAAGACTAGAACTCAACTAAAACTAACGGGAACTATCAATAGAATGGCCAGATATGGTGGCAATGATGTTTTCTCTCGGAAATGTCGTGCTGAGTGTAATATTCAAAGTTTATAAAAAAGGTGTAATTGTTGAAATTTTGTTTCTTAATTGAACATTTTAGTAGAACTCGATCAGAACTGTCTGGAACTCTTGCTAAAAGTAGTGATATTTATTTATTTCTTGTACTTCAGAGGAGGGCGTATCGTGCTAGGTTTGCGAAGTTAGCACGACAATTTTTCTTTCACTGTTTTTCGCTATTAAAAATGCGGAACTCTTTTTATTTTCTATCTAGAACTCTAGAACTATGAAAAGTGCTAATAGAACTGTCATTGTTTTTTAAAAATTTGTAAAACGTCGTGCCAACTTCACAGACGCCATGTACGCGACGTTTAATTTTATAATTTTATAATTTTTATTTTAATAATACGTAACTTTTTATTTTGTAAATGCTTATTCCCGCATAGCATAAGAATAAATATATCTGACTTAAATTCTAATCTATTATTTTATTTAATAATAACCTATTATTTTATTTTACATCGCATGAATAATACGCATGCCACGTAATATTAAATAGATCGGCTGTATGGTGTATTTGCACGCGATAAGGATACATGATAAATTGAAACAGTTAATTGTCAATTTGCCACGTTGTGTAAGACATCATAATGTCTGTGACATAACAACGCTTCTTTACTCTTACTGACAAGAGATACGACGCCGTATATTGTTGACTTTTGAATTATATTTTGAATTATTTATTCTTAATATAAAAAGATAATATTACCGTAGAACTCTATAGAAGTATTTCAAATTCTAAATTTTTCAGATAGTGTTTGTTTCCATTACATTTATTTAGACGCACTTAATTAGATTATCGCGTGATTAATGCGTTTAAACAGGTTGGATGAAAATCTCGCTGACAAATTATCGTGACAGAGCGAACATGTCACGAGATAATACATATTTATTATCGTACATATTTATTATCAGACTCGTAAAAGTATCTTCACAATTCGATTATTGCATTTATTGTTGCAATACGTGTTATTATTGGCTAAATGATCTTTCGGCATCTCATGCGTTCTGAGGAATTATCATCAAATTAATTTCTAAATATTCATCGGAATACTATCGGGTATATATATGAAACACTGAATTACAAGGCATATGTACTCTTCATATGTAAAATATTCACCCTAATGTCTCTTGAATTTTATGGTATTTATGATAAAAAGAGTTATCACAGTAGGTAGAGATATCGAAGCCTCAGCAAACCAACGTCATCGACTAAGTCCCCGAAAAATTGACATAAATTATTGACTATGTGTGTGTACGTGTGTTTTCTGACAGATTGCCATAATTCAAAAGTCAACAATATGTGGCGTCGTATCCCTTGTCAGTAAGAGTAAAGAAGCGTTGTTATGTCACAGACATTACGATGTCTGGCACGACGTGGCAAATCGATAATTAGCCGTTTCAATTTATCATGTACCCTTATCGCATGCAAAGACGCTATTAAGCCGAGTTGGCGCAAGTGTTCAATTTCAAATAATACGTCAAATAATACGCAAATAAGAGCCGTGTTACCCCCGTGGGAGACTTAGTAAACAAATTACGGACAATATATAAGGGTACCAGTTCGAAGTGACTTTACTCGACCACGGTTTCTCAACCTTCTATCTTAACCAAGTCGCACTCACAATGGCACGCGCTATTTTCGTATTAACTGTACTGGTGGCCCTGTGCTGCACCAGCCAGGTAAGTCAAAATAACGATAATAATAACATAAGAGAGCAATTATTGCGCGATTCAAGAGAGACGAATGCCAAGAAACAGTGAAACTAAATCTATATTCGAATAAAAGTTATCACGCTTAGCGATTGTTGTGTAAAACACGCCGTTAAAAGAAAACTAAATGTATAAAACTAAATGTATAAATTGTCATCGCGAGTTTGTACGCGAAAGTGATAATAACGGACATTTATCGGCAATTAGGAAGCAGATCTTGTTCGTAATGCATTTTAGTTTCACGTCCGATATCTCTTTTCACACACGTAATGCAATATATATAATTCCGATATGTTAATTCTTGATAATCCTCTTTGAGTGTCTTACGTTACTATCCCGTTTGTGTTTCTGCAATACACAGTTTATGACATTATAAACAATATGATACGTATTTTCAATACATAGTACTTTAACCTATACCATTACTTCACATACCTTAATGATATACCTTATTGAGGTATAAACAATCGCTTTTATTTGTCCGAAATTGTTTTTAGGCTTTCCCGCCAAAATCAGAAGAATGGGACAACGTAATGAAGGACCTTATCGAAAAGATAAAAGATATTAAGTCCAATCGAGCAGCATTTGCTAACCAAGCTTCCCTAAAATCAGAACTTGAGAAAATAATAAATACCTTAGATATGGTAAAAAAGAATGTAGATGATAAAATTGACGAAATAGAAAATAAAGTGGAAAAAAGAATAAATGAAATGCTGAATGAGATACTAGATAGAATTACCAAGAAAACGAATCCCACGGAGGAAGTCCAAGTTGCCGGTATATTAAATGATATACGAAACAAGAAGGAAGAGATACAGAGAGAGATACAGAGAGAGATACAGAGAGAGATACAGAATTTGAGAAATATTTTAGAAAGTGGAATGAAAGAAGGAATAAAAATAACTGAAGAAGTAAAAATGGACATTAAAAAACAACTTGAAGAGCTTGAAGAAAAACTTGAAAATATAAATGATATTCTTAAAAATGGTTGGGACAAAATGACAGATATATGGTAGAAGACATGAAGGAGTTGACAAACAAGATATTTGACGACTTGTCTATGTTAAAGGATACTACGAGAAAATCAGACATTTATTTGGATGATTAATTTTAGCTTCGAGATATAACTTAGGATCATTTAAAGTTGATGTGTTCAGAGACGCCACACACTTTTAAACAGTGTCAAACATTCCTCAGTGAATTTTGAAGTTCCTTCTAAACAATTCACACAATATCTAAAAGAGTTTAGCAATGTCAAGCCTAGTAAATAAATTTTGTAACGCATCTGTCCTTTAATTCGCGAGTCTATTGATTAAATATCGCATGTGGTGTCTTTGTTTCAATTAGCGACATCTTATTTCATCAAATTACAATCACTATTAACGTGATAATGTGATGTAACAGTTATCAAAATTACTGTTTGCTAAAAAACAAAAAACACATCCGCATTAACACCACGATGGAGTCGACTTCGACCTCAGTGTATCACGAAGAGTTCAATAAATATGTTAAAGCATTCTAATAGAGACGTTTCAATTAACCTATTCCACATCCTGCATTTTGTAAGCGAAAGAACTAGTTTTAGAAATTAGTTTAAATAGTTTGAAAAATGCGTAAGGGAAGAAAACAGGAAGAAAGCATTTGTCGTATATTCCGTGGCCAAGTGAAAATTGTATATTACAGATCAAGGTTTACGATGACCGATAACGGTCAAATAGATACTGAAAGGTTAACCATTGAAAGGTTACACGAACATTGCAGTCCGAGTATGCAAGTGTTGCATATGATACGTAGACGGTGAGTGAATTGAAGTTCAATTTCTTCACGATATATATGAGTGTACTTGTATGTGCAAAAATATCCTTCTCTTACTTTAAAGTTAGAATCGAAAAAGTTAGTTTGCGAATTCCTTGACGATAGAAGCTCACCGGCTCACTTCGAAACGATAAAGTCATGAATGCATTTTCGTATCTCTTCAAATCTCACGAAATGTGTATCAGCCAAGTGATGCTGCAGCGATCGGAATGGGTAATAATCAGAAGGCGCTATGTCTGGGCTATACGCCGCGTGCGGAAGAAGTTCCCAGCCTAACGCAAAGATATGGTCTTGAGTCGCTTTCGCAACATGTGGTCGAGCATTGTCCAGCACGCAATTCATCTTCAAGACTGAAATCTCCTTGGCGAAATTTTCCATACCATCTTTTACACGTAGCATGACTTACAGCGTTCTCTCCATATGCAGTACAAATCATTTCAGTGGCTTCAGCAGCATTTTTCTTCAGATAAAACGCGAAGTGGAAAATCGAATATGTTCTCTTTTGTTATTGCCATCGTGAACACTACTGATTTTTGAAGATATGTGCATTAAACGCCAAACCGCATGGCATTTTAAAAGGCAAAATGTCAACACTTTAAAATCGCAAAAGGACGGGAAGATAAATAAAATTTAAATTGTTGTTTCGATTGTATGAAATCTAAAGCTCAGAACTTTTTTGCTTACCTTGTATATATATATATATATATACAAAACTAATATAGTTGTCATCTATATAGTTACTATCACAATCTCTTTTTCTCTGAGTGTAGAATAAACAATCGTTTTTACGAAGAGAGCTAAAGTTTTAAAAAAATATATATTTTCTTATTTAAAAAATATTTATATTAATATAAATATAAAAATATTTATATTAGTGTAAGAAAATATATTATAAATGCCCATCGAATGTTTTTTTATTTTTCTCTCAGTGTAAATATCTAATTATTATATAAATGTATATACAGGGTAGGCCAAAAGTCTGGATAAAGCAAAATATGTCATAAACAATGCATTTTAGAAAAAAATGTTTCAGACAAAAGTTGTAAGGCTTAAAAAAACGCATTCAATGATAGTAGTTATTTGACATAGGATGATATCGCCAAAGTCAGAACAAGGTCAACTTTGCTTTTTTAAATAGAAATACATTTTTTATTATGGCATTTTATTCTACGTAAAAAAGCAAACAACTTTTGCTTGAAAAAATTTTTTATACGACCTCTATTTTCTAAGATATTTACGTAAATATCTACAAAATTATTGGTTTCAATAATTTTTTACTTGAATTCTATCAACTTTACCGAAAAATATCAAGAGATAAAAATTGCTTATTTTGTTTTCATAGAGCTCTAAGAATTTTTTCAGAATTTTGTGTTAACTTTTTAGTACTTCAAGAAAATGCGAGAAAATGCAGTACTAAAAAGTTAATATAAAATCCTGAAAAAATTCTCAGAGCTCTATGAGAACAAAATAAACAATTTTAATCTCTTGATATTTTTCGGTAAAGTTGATAGAATTCAAGTAAAAAATTATTGAAAGTAATAATTTTGTAGATATTTACGTAAATATCTTAGAAAATAGAGGTCGTATAAAAAATTTTTTCAAGCAAAAGTTACTTGTCTCTTTACATTGAATAAAATGCTGTAATAAAAAATACATGTTTCTATTTAAAAAAGCAAAGTTGACTTTGTCCTGACCTTGGCGACGCCATCCTAGGTCAAATAACTACTGTCGTTGAATGCGACTTTTTAAGCCTTACAACTTTTATCCGAAACATTTTTTTCTAAAATGCATCGTTTATGACATATTTTGGTGTATCCAGACTTTTGGCTCATCCTGTATGTAATCGTAATATTCGATTGAAGAAAAATAATTGATGTGTCGAACATTTTATAAAGATTACGTCTGAAGTTGTATCGTATGATTTTCGTTTTTTTTCTTTTTTGTAGTCCGTGAGGAATAACAGACATGACTTACGAGATGACGATATCGACGTAGTATTCGATAAGGAAAACAAAAAGATTAATGCTGCAATTCTAAGCAGAATTGTAAATCTCGTAACTTGTTCTCGTAAAATTCGTCAGAATTTATAAGTAGATTTACAAATCTATGCAATATCATATGTCGTACAATCACTTGTAAATATCGTAAATTACATGAAATATTAGGTATTTACGAATAATTGTACGACATATGATATTGCATAGACTTGTAAATTTACTCATAAGTTCTGACGAATTTTACGAGAACAAGTTACGAAATTTACGATTCTGCTTAGAATTGCAGCATAAGTCTTACCTGGATCTGACGAGCTGATACCGGTCGAGCTTCTCGCTGATGGGCTCGCGACGATGCTTTTGATGGAACTGATGACCCTGATTGCTGCGCTGCCCGCTGCAACTCAGGCAACGGCGAGCTCCTTGCCAAACAACCAGCATCACTGCGACAGATAAGACAGAACAAATGTTAATATGAGCTTACCAATCATAAATATGTCAAGTCGCAGATAATACAAATTTGATTTACTCACAAGAGTACTTCTGTACTTTTCTTGAGATCAAAATCGATCCAAAACACCTTCCGAAATGTAAAATGCCACATTGGATTGCAACACAAATGATGTGGCATTTTATATTTAAAAAGGTACTTTATCGATTCTGATTAAGAAAATTACAAAAGCAAATAATGATAGATTGAGAGTCCCTTGTCAGACAGAAGACGTCACTAACTAATGTCTCGCAATTTTGATTTTGACGTTATTAACAAGTAAACCTATCCAAAAGGTACAGTCCGATTTCTTTCTAATTTGACACAAATATAAAGGTACAATAAATATTTTTTTATTTTGGCCCATTTTGAGTTTCACGGGCAGTTTATAGCTTTTTAATGTTCTCACTCCTATCATTAATAAGTACAACAAAAATGCATAAGAAATAAAATTGTATATAAAATATAGTTAAATAATTTTAACAAAATCGGCATAGCTGAGACACAAACCATTCTAAATTTTTTTAGCCAAGATTCTAACCGAAATATTTCAAATCTGTGCTAAATTAATCAAAAATAGTTCGAATCTCAAAGTAAGCCAAAATGAAAAAATATGACTTAAATATTTTTTATATTTCTACATTTGTGCCAAATTAGAAAGAAATCGGAGTATAACTTTTGGGTAGGTTTACTTGTAAGATGCCTTTTATAAGTAATCAAAATATATATGACAAGATTCTTGTCTACATTCAAAATAAACAATTGTCGCATAACTAGCTTTGCGGGTAGCCGAGAAATTAATAACAAAAACTAAAATATATATTCATAAAATAGAAGTTATATATAAGACAATATATATAAAATAAAATAGAAAGTTAAATAGATCGCGAAAAAATTGCTACATCTCCCATTAATGAGTTCTAAAACTCATCAATATAAAATATTTGTTAGTTCTCCCGCGAACCAGTCTTTATGTATACGTCTTATTATTGTCCGTCATGACACAACAAAACATTCATAACACGTCAATACGCGGAGTTCTTGTTATTTTTGGTATTTAGTCCGCAAACGCGCGCTCGCGATTTCTAGAGCCGGCTCATGAGATTGTTTACCTCGACATCAGGAAGCGACATGTGTTACCTCAAAAAGTCGCACGCGAGCGACCGGAAGCTCTGTGAATCGCGCGGAAAATTAGAGAACGCGACGAAGTGCAGCGTTTGCGGCAATGCGACACGCAAAAATATGGTATATCGTAATGCCACATAAAATACGCCTTGCTTGCCGGAGCTCTATCGATTACCAAGCCGCTACAAGAGCTAAGTTAGAGCGACGCTTCACATTCCGCATTCCATTGTGCTTTCTCAAAAACGCAACATCCGTTTGTTCTCATCGCGATTTCTCTCTTTCTTTAACAAAGCCCGACAGTACGCTCTAAGTCATAGCTTTAAACATAAGCACATGTATATAAATTCAAGTTAAGACTTCATTAACGTTGGTAAAACTTATTACGAGACGTAGAGACTAGGAGCTGTAGAAAAACCCAAACGCAAGAGCATGAACGACGTTATTTATATGTTCTGTGTTGTACAAAACAAAAAAAGATTACGTCGTGCAGACACGTGCGGAAAAATGAGACAAGCTTGCAAATGAAAAAGTTTGAAAATATTATTGGTAATGCAACAGTAGTGTAATACATGATATAAATTGACAGAGTCAGAAACGATTTTTCTAACTTCTCAGCTAAGCTATAGTTAATATAATTTTTTCCTTTAAATTGAAGAAAAAGTCTGTTCGTTTTTTAAGAATTTCTGAATTAGTGCAAATTAGAATGAAACAAGTAAACTTTTTTTCATTCTAACGTGTACTAGTTCAAAAGTTGTTCCAAAACGAACAGACTTATAGACAGACATAATTTAACTGTTAGCTTACCGAAGGTGTGATTCGTTACACGCTACAAATGCTTTGAAGCGCCGTATATCATGACTCTTCTTTCAAAGTGTTTACAGCGTCTAATGGATCGCGCCCCAAAGAGATTGGAAAAATCGGTCCCTACTCCTGCATTACCTGCATCCAATACGAAACGTTCCACAAAATGTCGGAATATTCAAATATTCAAAATGTCAGAATATTTGAATGTTTCGATATTTTAGGAGAGAAACCAAAGAGACGCGTCATAAGAGAGAATAGAGAGAGAGAAATGAAAATAACGAAATGTCTAGAGATATTTTCTCGTGAATATTTTCGACTAACCGAAATTCAGCGTCGGAGCAGAACTCTAAATTACGACATTTACAAACGTAACAATGTCGCGTTTAAACTCGCGGTTTTGCATGGTCTGATCTAACGGTGCGATCGTTCATTCACGTTCATCGATCTTTGTCACCATTCGCGCGCGTCCATCCGTCCGTTCCACATTCGCTCTTTCTCTCTCTCAAAAAAAAAGAACTGGAGCTGCTTGCGTGTTACGATACGTACCTCGAAAACATCAAGATCACGCTATGGCGTCCTGAATATATTCCACACGTCCGCCCCGACGTTGTCGTTGTTGATTCGCACACAAATCTCGCTATCGACTCGTCGCGTGTTCGCGACGATGCACGTATTCGGGAGAAACCGACGAAGATTCGACACACTCACAGAACGGCTACGAGAATGGGGACAACGCGAACACGGGCGGAAATGTCGCAAATGTGAACGCGAACGAATCACACTGCGAATCAAACGTGCAGTAACGAACGTCACACACTGCTCCACGCTGGAACACGACACGACGTCCTGAGATCTCACTCCGGCGGCGAACGGTTCTAGACTGACTTCAGACAGCGGCAGCCGGCGCGCGCGCGCGCACACAATGGCGTCGGCTGCGCAGGCGCTCGACGTGACGCGCAAAATTTGAACGCCACAAATGTTTCATCCTACATAAAATGTTACTTTTTACTATTAAATCCGCTCACAATGTTTGATTTTGGTTTCTGTTTTCGGAATAGCGCATTTTTTGGAATGTCTCGCAATCGTTATACCATATATCTCAATAAGTACAAATACAATAAATTATTGGATTTCTTCAATGACCATTACTACGCTATGTAGTATCTTTTTTTAGGCACGCTATCTATTCTCTCTTGTACAGATTTTCTTCTCTCTTCTGTCTCTTAATAATCTTAATTACACATTTCCTAATAATTATTTTACATCACATGTTATATCCATCGTGGCTACGTAATGACAGAGAGGAGGGAAGACAGAGGAGAGACGAGAGAGCACGGTAGAATGAATCCAACATTTTATTCGGCAATAGTACGAATACGATGAAAAATTGTTCTGCCGCTTTACGATGTGAGCTTTACATTCGTAATTGTTGTCGTAATTATTGGCTTCTTACTCGAATACTTCTCTGAGCCGTCTTTTGAACAATGTTTCATGGCTGTTGCGCGAGTAACCGCCAAAAATCGATAAGTCCGCATAAATCCTAAAGAGAAAGAGTCGTCGGGAAAATTTAGATTCTACTAAGAGAGAATAATAATAATAAGAAATTTAAATATCAATAAGATGAAAAGATGCTGCGCATTCGATAAGTAGATGTATGTATCCGCATTCTAGCTGACAAGATTTCCCACAAAAATACATTTCGCTCTTGCTTCAAGAGCACTTTCTACAAATGCAAGTGCATTATAATGCTATGGAAGCATTAATGTAACAGTATATCCTTATAAATTCTTTTTTTAATGTGCATTGTAAAAGCATTCAAAAATCGTCTACGGAATTGTTTTCATCTCGTTAGATCGATCTAAGAATCTTAGAGTACTTACACTTCAAGTATACTATCGTACATAAAAAGTGCTACATACTTTTATCAGCGACGAATAAAGAGCGCATCATGAAAATAAATGTTATTTACTTTCATCCCTAATATATATCTTTAACTCTGTTCTTTTTCGTCTTCAGTTTACGCGATAATGTATTCGGGATCGAACATTTAAAATCTGCAAGATTGTAGTCTATAATTTAGTGAACACATTTGAAATATACCAATCCTTCGTGGCAAAAGTCTATAAGTTCGTATCCCGCGTACAAATTACACTGATTCGGCCGCGGAGATTCTGATTTAAAAATCTGTAATCGCGCGTTCACGTCGATCGCCGATGTGTGAAGAGTGACATGGAAATATACAATGCTCGCGTCGAATCGCGTAGAATGTCGTCAAGTTGAACGAAGGCGTACAATAAGAGTGAAGACATTAAATAAATATGCAGATATAAAGTGAGACGCGATACAAATTAACAAGATCAATGCTCTGTAAAAAAATATATATATGTCTATATATCTATATATATGTGTATATGTATGTCTTGTAAGATGATACAAAGTGTATTACACGCGACATGTAAATCTCTTAAAAGACTACAATACAGCCTACAATACATAGATACTTACAAACAGTAACTTGTCAAACAATTGCACTGAAATATAAGAATAATAGTGTAGCTCGGTCTTTGCAACGTAAACCACTATGCAGGACGAAGCGACGTCATTTAAAAGGAAACAGGTATATGTGCCAAATCAAGTGTGAAACTCTGCGATAACGCTCAGATGCGTTGTCGATTTATATTTAATATGTAAGATTGTGTGCGAATTTGTCTAATGCATCAACAAGGACGTCAATTATTTAAGACACGTTAGATGTTGCAAGTTTGTACAGCAACTGCTCGCCACACGTTTCGGCAACTTATAAATTGTACAGTTGTGTTTTACTAACAATAAGATAAATATAATTCATAATGCTTATTGCGATCTATACGTTAATACAAACTAAACTGTAAGTAGTTTTAATCGTTATAACAGTGGAATACGAAGTGAACTCTTTTATCTCTCGACGTTTTTATAAATCTTACATTAGTACAGAATTTCAGTTTACGCTTAAATTCTTAAAATTTTTCAGAATTTCGGTTTATACCTAAATTCTTAAAGTTTGTGAACAAGAACTTATCAATATTGATAAAATCACACGATATTGCTTTTATAAAAAACTTTAAATATACGTTAATTAAATTTCACTTTCTCAGATATGTGAGAAAAGATTTATGGAAGAGGAATAAATTAAGCGTGAGTACAAAGAATTTAATTTTCCCGGGCTAATTTCAATGTGCACGTGAGTCGTCGTTAAGTAGAAAACGTATTTTTCCTCCATTTCTTTGCATAAAGTTGTCGTTAACGTTCTCGAAATATCAACAACTTGGAAAGTCTTATTTATTAAATAGAAATAATTCGTATAATCGCAGATAATTTCCTTTATCTTAAGAGACCGTAATTGTCCAAATGTTTTATGCTTTCATGTACCTCGTACTTTGTATCATAGGAAACAGGTACAATGTATTAGGTAACTCAATTTCCTGTGCGATACAACAATCGATAAGATTTCTTACGCTACTTTAGTACGCTTAGTATTCCGCAATAACGATCAAGGTACACACCTTACCATATTTGTAAGTTACATACAAAACGTTGCACTGGCAGATATAATTATCTTTTTGCTTCCTTTTTACAAGTATATAGAAAACTAAATCAGTATCCTACAGCCTCTCTGTGATGTATAAACTAAACAGCAACGTCACTAAGAATAACTGTGAAGTGCTACACAACTTGTAAAAAAAGAACGGCTATCACTTCTGATCTTTAAATCTCGGATAAATTCTAACTGTTATAACAAAGAAGAGATTTTTCAGTACTAAATAAACTGTTAGTTTCCTTCCTGCTGTGTCATCTCTAAGCTTACGTCATCTGTTATTAATCATTAACAAAACTTGAAAGTCAACGTCTCTTACAATTGACCTCTTCATCTAAAATCTATTAGCAGCAAAGAACGCCGAGAATTCAACATATAGGACATTATTGGCGAAGCAACCGTAAGAGCTCGTATAACTTCTGAGTTATGGTCATTAGTGTCAGGCAAAATACATATTTTTCTTTCAGGGAAAATATGTGCTTACATGAAATATGTGCACACATATATTTCATGTACGTTAATATAAATATAAATGCATATGCAAAATCATTACGAATCGTAATTTATTTTGCCTGACGCTGTAGTATCCGTAAATTAAATCGTGGTCTTATCGAAATAACAAAGTGTATACATTACAAACTGTAGGTTGATATAGTTTTCCCTTCGCCACCAATGTGTGTCGTTGTCAACTGAACTGTTACGTCGCGTCACGTAAAGCATCAGTAAGCCATTGTTACAATGTAAATATTGTCTTACTGAAATATCGAGATATCAAAAGTCGTTAAATATCCACCTAAAATTAAACGACGCAGTAATAAATATAAGTATCTTTTAGAAAACGGCGCTAATCTTTAAAACTAGATCTTTTCTTTTTTTCTTTTTGTTTTTCTTTATCAGGTGAACGTACGCGTCATCCTGATGGAAAACTCATTTATATTTACAGTTATAATGTACAGCTATTACACGATTTTATACACAAGTGAAAAATGACGTGTTGCTTTTTCACTTACGTGATATTATCTTAATTTTACCTAGTGCATCATTTTATGGATCTTCAGGATCTTCCCCAGACGTTGCTTCGCCGTTTTCATCCCTTTCTTCGGCTTACGTTCTACAAATTCGATTAAATATAAATTATTGGACGATTATAATTAATAAAACTCAGGTAAAGAAAAAGCAAGTATAAAAATCGAGATACTCTACCAACGGGAACTGGTGCCGCAAGCTTCGCTTTAACATCCCTTAGTCTATTAGGGCTCGTCAGGATCGATCCGCATCCGATGGACGATTTGATAGCATTTTCAGACTGTGCGGTAGACGTGGTTCCTGCCGCGCTAATTGCAGGATCCTTTTGCTTCCTCTTATTGTATGTCCGTTTTGCAGCACTCTGATGCACGCATAAAGTATAACGTGAATCATTAGTTCGCTCGATTCAGTGACATGCAAAAATGAAAGTATGGAACGAATGTAAGAAGATATACATGATTAATGGTAGCAAACTACAGTTGATCATTACGGTATGTGCGATGAAAGGAAAACAAGAGTGCATGTAATTAATGTCGAAAAATAAGAAGACGCATTCACAATGTACACGTAACGCTAGCAAGATGCTTCGTGAAACATTTCACTCAAATACATGTAGTCTTTGCTGCATAATGAAGCGTTAAACGCGAAGTATGCTCAAAGTATGAAAAAATACAATTGTAACTACAAGATATTCATGACCAAAGAGAACAAACAGAAAAAAATAAAGCACTACAAGATCTTTAGATCAAACTGTAATGATCGAAGTAATGCCTACCAATTTCTTCTTTGCGATCTTGTCCATGTCGTTATCCAGATATTCATCCTGTATGAAATGTATATGCAAGAAACACGGAATTATGGAATTTAGGGAGGATTATAAGTGATAAGACATTCATTGAATGAAAAGCAACAATGAGAAAAAAAAGAAAATGAAAACATTATTCTGCATCGTTACGTTATGAACATCAGACACACGATCATTGATCGCATTCTAGATTAATTCGTATACGTATAAGATCCACGATAACTTGTGTGATATATGTAAAAAATGAAATTAGAAGAAACAATTGACTCACCGACTGTTTCGCCCGTTTCGCCGCAGCCGCTTCCAAGCCTTTCTCCACGGACGTCTTCTTCACACCTTCCCGTGCTGGTCGATTTGTCTTAGGTAGAAGAGGACCTACTCTGGCTTTCGGGTTCCACGCTTCGTCGATCTGACTCTTCGTCTTGGGTTTGAAAATGTATTCCTCGTCGTCAGACGCATCCAAAGCTGGGTAAACTACGAGCAACAAAGACTTCTTTTTTAGTAATTTCATCGCAAGAAGAGTTATAAATATATAGGATGAACCACGCTAATTCTGCCCATCTGAGAAGTATATCTGCCATTAAAACAAATATCTATCTGGAGTGTACATACTGAAATCATCGTCTTGGTGAACCTTGTCAATATTTTCTATCAACTCGTCGTCTTCGTTGCTATTGCGCTGCATCTTGGCGGGCCTCGATGACTTCGCGGAATCGCTCGTTGTCGAGTAACACTGCTCGCTGAACGACAACATGCCAGCGATCGCCTCCCGCGTGGACGGTGATGCCCTGCCAGAACTAATCGTTTTCAATTGATAAATACTAAGACACCAATAGAAATCAAATTCACTCCCCTATACGACTATAAGCTAAAGGAACTACCTAACGAGAGAAACACGTTACTATTCGAGTATTCACAGAAGCCTCTTAATAATTACTCGCTGGTACCGATTAAGAGCAACGTAGCAAGTTGATTTTAAGCCTAATACACGAATATTTGTGCTCCGTCGACAATAGCAGATTAAATTACCCAGTGGGAGGCGGCATAGGCTGACTGTAGTGCGCAATTGTAGACGAGGGCCTAAAATTATTTTTACGTCACGTAAATATCGCGCGACACGGCGGTGTCAACGGTTCGTAATATTAAAGATACATACGCGACGTCTATCCTTTGGGTACCGTTGCCGAGTGTATACACTGACGCTTTCAGCAACTCCTCTATACCGTTCTTCGGCGTGTCGTTCAGTATGTCGACGTTCCCGTCGTAATCGTGCTTGAACTGCTTCAGAGGGTTCCCCCGCGGCGCTCGTTTCCGCTTCTGCGACTCGTCTATCGTGAACCTGCCGTAGTCGCTCTCGTTGCTGCCGTCGTGAAAGTCGTACACGGACGTCTGATTCCACACGAGCGGCTGCTCCTTGATGCTCCCCATCGTCGTGTGGTCAGTCACAATGTTTCCATACACGTCGATATTGTCGTTTGTACTTCTAACAACCTCGTTGTTACCGAGCTTAAATCTAATCACAGTGGGGCTCTGTTTACCCGGTTTGGACACTCGCTTATTACCGGCGGCGGGTGGCTTCTCCGTGGCAGTCAGCTTAATATTGGGATACGCGACGGGTTTCGGTAGCGTCAGCTTCAACGGCGGCCTATTGTTCGACGGCAACGGCCCCTCGACCGCGGATTCCGTTTTATTCGTTTCTTTCAACGTCGCCTTAAACGGATTATTCTTCATCTTGTCGGCGAAAGCGAAGTCCACGAAATCCTTGTTCAGCGGCTTCTTCTTTTTTCGTTTACTCTCACGTTCTGGCTTCGGTGGGTTCAGAGATATTAAGTAACGTTCCGCGTGCCGTATCTCCTTGCTAAGGTCCTTCAACAGCTTCTGACTGTTTATTGTCTCCGGTATTTGTCCGCGACTGGTCATGTTGTACTGAAAATACACGTTATTTCTTAAAATTCTGTCTATGTTAGGCTTCTTGCATTATTCGATCAAGCTGAATACAATAAACGTTTCAACTTACATCTTTGTCCGTGTTCCACTGCTTAAGAATTGCGAGCAAGGCTTTTATACCTAGCAAGTGGTACTCTGGACATTTCTTGCCTTCACCATTTAAATCTTTTAATTCTTTAAGCATCTTCTTGGCTGCAAACCAATTAATCGTCTCAAATCCAGGATACTGAAATTTCGCAGGTGTCTTCATCTTCCTCTCTAGTTCATATATTCTGCAAAATTCACAAATAAAACAAATTAAGAATACTCTCCCTCTTTCTCTTTGATCAATTATGATCCAGTAAATTTACTTGTAAATTTACTCACTGTATCTGCATTGGAATGTTGAGACTGTGCAAGAAGTTCCCACCAAAAACCAAGGAATCCACTGGCGTGAACACAGCGTGTATCCAGCCCGTGGGAATCATCATCGTTTGGCCCTGTTTAAGTATACATTTGTAACACGCGTCAGCCTGGTCTCCGAAAAAGGTTTCACTCTGCGTCGAACTACACAACCAATGCTGGTACAACTGTATGTTCGCCATTGTCGGTTTGATAAGATAGAACACTTTCTCGCCACGCAATACGTGATACCATACGGACGTGCCGCCAAAGTCAATGTGAAAATCAGTGAAACTGTCCCTGACGCCCATTAGACAATACTTTTGCACTTCGGGTCGCTTTATATCACTGTCATCAGGCCAGTCACGTGGCCAAGCCGAGTTTACCCAATCCAGCTTGCGTGCGATGCTTGGCGCTTCGACCAGTTGCGAAAGACTGCAATGTTTATGCAATCAATTAATAAACTGTGTTTTAAAAATACAACATTGTATACAGTAATGCCATGAACATCAATATACCTAGTGTTTGTAAATTCAAGGCTTATGACATTAAGTATCCTTGTACTTGAACGACAAGAAGTGCTAAAATATTCTACAAAGTCTCTCAACTTCATACGTATGTTACTCTGTCTAGTGACATCAATCACATCCATGTATCGATCACCACCTGAAAACCATGATAACATTAAAGTTAACTTAGCAAATTTATACAATATAGTGTTTTGCAATTTACAATTTAGTAGGCATTATCTAATCAAGACATTTTCATATTATGTCTTACCTATGTAGTTCTCAACATCCAAGACACTGAAATTTGAAGGCGGCAGAGTCATGTCGAGACTTTCTTTCCCATCGACAATGATAGGATTTTCAAAACCATTTGTTTGTAAGTATTGAAGACTTAATTGCTGCCCCTTTAGATGCTTCACAATTTCATCAGCCTTGGGAAAGTGTCTAGTCTTCAGCTCTCGTATAAACACTGGAGTTCCAGTTTGAACAGGTTTTGTATCCGCATTGTATTCAGAATAATCATGTCTATGCCAGTTTGTTCTAACTTTCACTGTAAGATAAAATAAATAAGTATTAATGGTAATAAGCAGTTTTCTTTGAAAATGTATGTAAAATATATATAATAATAATGCAAACTTACTTATCGAGGGACCATACATGGCTTGACAACGTGGACAGTGATACTTGTCAAATTCTATAGCCATGTATTCCTTTATCCCCACACATCTGCAAGAAAATGCAATATGCTATGTTAACTATTAAAAAAAATCATAATAATTATACATTACAATGTGATTATGATGCTAATAGACATAATACGTGTGTATACAAACTTATAAATCACAACATACGTTTAAATAAGTGTATTTTTTAACAAACAAAATAATCTAGTCGTCATAAATTACTTTTGTTACACGGAACATCCAGTGATAATGTAAAAAATATGTGCCAAATAACTATGAAAGCCAAATAACACACTGTACAGGTTATGTCACTATCAACAAAACGTTGTTTACGGTATAATATTGATTCATCAGTGGCACATTTTGCGTTCATTATTAGGCTTGAGTAAGCGGGAGGTTCTCGAGATATAATTCGATGCGAGAAAACAGCCGAAATTAAAGAAAATTGCGAGAATTCCACGTCACTGTTGTTGAGTAGCATAGTGTCGTGAACGCCGAGTTTTACACGGGCGACGTATTTCAACAAGCTCACAAATACTTACCCGCCATGGTACCATTCCTTGCACACATCACATTGTATCATAAATTGCTCAGGATCGTATGGACGACCGCACAAACAATACGTAACTGGTATCTCCATTTTTTTAGTGGTTATTGATATTGAATACAACTATCGAAGTACACGGTTTCGTCAACATCAAGGGCGCGTTCGTTTTGGGCGCTTCAAGCGCTGCTCACGGCGTTCACTTTGGCGTTGTAAGCGCTCTCACATTCAGGTTGCGTTCCGAAATTCACTTCCAGTACTGAAAATTTATAGTTCATGTCACATATACTATAGAATTTCAGTACTGACAGTGAATTTCGGAACGCAACCTCAATTACAGCAGTGATGTCATTGGACGCATTCAGAACTACGAATTAGGCCCAGTTCCACAACCTCCGTTTAACTTTAACTACCGGTTAAGTCTCAACAGTGATTGGTTAATTCTAATTAACTCTTCTTAACGCTAAATGCGATTGGACATGTCCAATGGAATAACCGGTCAGTTAAATTAACTAGAGGTTGTGGAACTGAGTCTTAGGTCCGGTTGCACCAACGTTATTTTGGTTTTAAATGACACTTAAATATATGTCTATCTTTATTTATGTAGAAAGAAAGATAAAGATAGATATATGTTTAAGTTTCGCTTAAAGCCAAAATAATGGCGGGTGCAACCAGGCCTTAGAGACCCTTGAGTAGAGACTGGACATAACGGGGTTCCGCGTGATTGGTGTACGTGACTTTTGCAACAAACAAAATGGCAGCGCCAACATAAGTTAGAACTTTTGCACGTAGAAAAATGTTAACCGTAACCATAAAGCTGAGTTCCCACTGAGCGCGTCATGCGTCGCGTCGTCTGCTTGCGTCACGAGTTAACCAATCAAATCGTTCCATTGGAACAAGTGAGTCGTGCACACGTCATCCCAATTAGAAGATTTGATTGGTTAACTCGTGATGCAGACAGACGACGCGACGCGTGACGCTCTCAGTAGGAACTTATGTCCAGGGCCCCTATTCTACGTAGTACGACTCAATGAGAAGTCAGACGTCTTTTTATTTTTGGATACACAACTCAACTGCAGGTTGAAAAATCTTTTTATTTTTAAAAGAGTCAGTTGAGTGGCAGGTCAGAGGATCTTTATTTTCAAGTAGTACGACTCAACGACGGACCGAACGTACTTTTTCTTTAGCAGCAGAACGAAATAGCGGATAGGATAAGTTCGTATCTCTGTTGCCGAAACATAGAAATCCTTTTACTCTGACGATGCTACTGAAAAATAAAGATCTTTTAACTGAAAGTGATTCATCGTCGCATAATTTTTTATTACATGTGTCGTAACGTGTGTCGTATCTTTTATACAAGAGCATTAGTATTCAATCATATAAACGAGCAGAATGGCCCAATCATTCCTTTCAGATGATTTTTGGAACAGGTGAGCTGTCCGTGAGTATATATGCATCGGATATCGGACGCCAGCGTGAATCTTCCATGAATGTTGCGTCCGGTATCAGTTGCCAGGTGTCCTGTGATAGTCCCCTACACAGCTGAAGATAAATTATTATTTGCCACTGACAGTATCGATCGGCGAATGTGGATGTTCCGCGCAAATGATCGGCCCGTCACAACTGCGACAGACCGTTCGGTTGACAGTTCATGTCGGCTACGTGTGTACGTATACTCCGACAGTTGCTTTATCTCGGCGTCCCGACAATAATCAACGATAACAATTTTTTGTTCCTTTTTTTACAGTTAATACTCTACCGTTCGATAATTCATATCTCACAATGCAGCTTGACGACATCTTAAAACGCGGTACTTTTTAAAAGTCTCGGTGGAAGTAGAATATCGGAGATAAGGAAAAAAGAATATCGTGCATGGAAAGAGACAGATAAAATATAAAAGAAAATAAAAATGCGTCATTGTTATCAAAGCAGGCATTCAAGAATTAAGCGCCATTTCCTGTAAACAATGCTCAACTAGCTTGGAAAATATGTGAGGAAACAATCATCAAAGAATTAAAGGAAGAATCTCAGCAATATCAGATTGCATGAATCATTTGTGCAAGATAAGATAATTAAAGATTGCTAAAATTGCATCGGATTCAATAGATCTGCTTTGAGCTCAATCAGAAGGAAATTATATCTTGAAGATTAAACATGTCAGGAGGAGAAAGAAAGAAGAGGGGCTGTGACAGGGGCCAAGGATGGGAAGAAGCTGGTGCTGAATTCTATCAGGAAAGCTATCCAGCGGCTATAGAAGCTGATCTACAGCAGGCCTTACAGAGAGATCCTTCACATATAGCCACCTTACTTCCTAGCAAGAAATCTCGTGTTGGTGAGTTTACCTTGTTGCACACTTAAAGAATATATCACTAGTTCACCATTACTTACAAATGGATTCTCTGTACTGTCTGTTACATTTAATATAGCCACAGCTAAACGAATCCGAAATGACACAAAGACAACACTGAGAAGGCGTACAAGCACTAGATCTCGAGGCACAACCACTTCAAGGCGCATGTCGACTAATATTCACGATACAGCAGTGTCCACGTTACCAGATCTGTCAGAGAACTTGTCCAATGAGGAACGCACATGGGAGGAGATCATGCAGATCAAAGCTATGCCTTTGCGCATGTCGCAAAAAATACAGTTGAAGAATCAATTACAGGTATTTGCAATTATTGTCACATCTTAGTCTTCTTTCTATATTATTATCGACATTTTCTTTCTCTACGTATATATTCTATGTCAGTTAAGCATCTAATAAAATATTATTACTAAATCTCTACCTTTCAGAGCGCCACAAAATTGAGACTGCAAGGTTTCGAGCAGTTGAAATGGCAGCGCAGGAAAGCCTGGCAGCAATTTCGCATAAGACTGAAAGAAGCTTACTCCAAAATAGATCTGTGGAACGATAGTCTGCAAAAGATTGGTGGAAACTTTGGAATGGGGATAGTAGCATACTTCTTGTTTATCAAATGGCTGATGTATCTAAATCTACTACTGTTCGCAATCATATTCCCGCTGATTGTGTTGCCCGCGACCGTGCTGCAGACGCCGGAGAACGAAGCGTGCTCCAACAACAGCTCCAACTCCAGCGTGGCATGCTGCTCTGAACTGTACAAGAACATGACTGACAAGAGCAACAGCCTCACCGATATCGTGCAGGGCGGCGGTATTCTCGAATATACTCTGCTATTCTACGGCTCGTACACGCACAAGATCTACGAGAGCATAGGCGCCAATTTCTACTACAACTCGTCGTTGTCGTACATCTGTGCCATCATCAGCGTCTTCATCGTTAGCCTAGTGGCGATCGTGCGATCCGCCGCGAAGGGCTTCAAGGAGCGCGTCGTGGAGGGAGAAGGTCAATTCTATCAGTACTGTAACTTGGTGTTCGGCGGCTGGGATTATTGTATCCACAACGAGAAGTCTGCAGCGGTGAAGCACAAGGCGCTGTACAATGAGATGAAGGCATTTCTGGAGGCTGAGCGATTGGAGGAGGAGAGGAAAAATCGTACCAGGGAGGAAAAGACGAAACTCTTCTTCATACGCCTGTTCGTCAATTTGTTGGTACTGACGGTGCTGAGTGTCTGCGGCGCCTTCATCTACTACATAATCGATTTCTCGTTCGGTCACCTAGCGGCGTACCAGGACACCGATATCTCCAAGATCATCCGTCTCTTCTTCGAATTCCTGCCGTATATATGTATCGTCGGCCTCAACGTGGCGATTCCGTTCCTCTTTCGCTACCTAGTCGCCCTGGAGAATTACAGTCCATCTTACGTCATCCGTGTGACATTATTCAGGACGATATTCCTCCGACTCGCGTCGTTGGTGGTTCTGCTCACGTCCCTGTACACACTCGTCGCAGAGAAGATCCCGGAGTACGAGTGCTCCAACAGCAAGAACAAGCAGCCGTTGTGCTGGGAAACATTCGTGGGACAGCAGTTCTTCAAACTCTACACTACTGATCTGTTCATCCAGTTCTTCATGACGTTCTTCGTCAACTTTCCCAGGTCGTTCGTCGCACGACACACCGAGAACAAAGTGCTGCGCTTCGTCGGCGAGCAGGAGTTTGATCTGCCCAAGCACGTCCTGGATATTGTGTACCTGCAGACTATTTGCTGGCTCGGCTGCTTCTTCGCCCCGCTCTTACCGATGGTAGCCACGATCGGCACGTTTCTGCTGTTCTACGTGAAGAAGTTCACGTGTCTAATTAACAGTACACCGTCAAGCAAGATCTATCGCGCGAGCAGGTCAAACTCGCTCTTCATGTTCATCCTGTTGGTCTCCTTTATACTGGCGATCATACCGGTCGGGTACTCCATCGCGGAGATCATGCCGTCGAAATCCTGCGGACCGTTCCGCGGCCTGGAGTCCGTGTGGATGCTGTTGATTATGACGTTCTCGCGATTTCCCGATTGGCTGCAGTCGACCCTGTTCTTCTTAGGCACGGCTGGCTTCGGCATACCGGCGTTCGTCGTCTTGACGTTGCTCCTCTATTACTATTACGCGGCGTTGATCGCGAACAAGCATATGGTGACGGTGCTGAAGAATCAACTGGTACTTGAGGGCCACGACAAGCAGTTCCTGCTCAACAGGCTCAGCGCTTTCATCAAGCAGCAGCAGGATCAGAACAAGTTTCACCAGGAACAGACTACCGAGCTGGGCACATTTCAGCATGTATAAAAAGAGAAAAAGCGACGTAGAGTAAACTTGATTTTAATGTTCTTACCAAGTTTGTACAAATCCAGCGAGGACGTCCTCGCGACGGCGAGACTTGGTGGGAAACTTGGTGTCCAAATCCGGCTCGATCGAGCGACGATTGTTTGACGATTTACTTGTGATCTTTCCGTAGGTTTTACTTGTGAAACGTGTAAGACTGCGTCAATCTTATCTCTTTTATATTGCATACCCACCCGCGGTGACATTTACGAAACATTTTTGATATTCTATATTAAATTTGTGAATCGGAGAGAACGATAGAGAAATTTCTTACATGCAAGTAACACGCAAGTAGGCACAATACCAAAGATTAAGATTTGTGTACTTCACTTACGCTGCCGGTTGCAGTGTCTTGTATTTTACATAGAGTCAACTATCTCTAACTTTGATACATTGCAGCCACTGCCAAAAAAAAAAGGCGTTAGTTCCCAAGCGCGAGTTCGGCGAGATTAGTTTCGAATTTGCGAACCTCAAGGACGGGACATATCTGACGTTCTTTAACTCGATCGTCTCGTGTAGTGCGCGAGAATATACACGTCTGAAATCAGGGTACAAAGAAAAAGCAACAGTTTCGCAAGTATTACGCAATAGTTACAGATAAAGAAGAGTCGCGATTTATTTATTTATTCGTTAGTTTCGTATCATTTCGCAATTATCTGTAAAATCGCGCCATAGAGCCGTCGTGATAGAACGAGCGCGGTGGAGATCCGATTTAGAGCGTAATATTATCGTCGAACATTAAATATTATAAGCTAATGTGTGATCATATATATTTAGCTTAGTGCACTAACAAGTAACGAGACTACGCCTCCGTAACGGCGAGCATTTACTTCCTCGACTTTACGAGTAAACGTTAGTGAGCTTTTGCATGAAAGAAAAAGAAAGAACGAACGAAACGAAGTGATACGCAGCGGACCTATTTTTAGAGTAGCTCTACTTTAGAGAAACCTGTAATGTTATTGTAAATAGGTCCTTTAGAACGAGAAGTTATTTTATTAGGCAACACCTCCGACGAGCAACGTGAGAAACATCATTAACTGAAGTATTGTAATTTATTATTCACGTAGAATGTAAGAGCGGAACTTTTGCAATTCCATGTAGGGTACTCCGTTTTCCTTTCTAATCGGTTTTACAAATCTCATATACCTCAGTATTGCAATGCCAAAGAGAATTCCAGTATAGGAATTCCCATAATAATTTTAATATTACGTTTTTCTACTGTAGCGCGTCATCTTAAAATAACGCGAACATGCTCTGTTTAAGATCGTGCCCATTTTCCCTCACTGCCAATGATCTTACATAATCCTACGGAAATGACAGTTTTTTACTCCAGTGTATGTTTAAAAATCAATTTTGTAGGTATCCAAGCGCACATGTTCGATACACGTATTGTGGTAAATCGATTTAATTCTTTGGCCTAAATAATTGAACGTATACCGCACACATCTCGAAGAATGCATTTTGTAAGTCACACTCGTACGACAATGTATAAAATGGTATGTATGGAGATTCAGATACTAAGTACACATCTTCCATTAATTTACAATGAATATTGTAAGCTATTGATGGCACTAAATGCATTAATATAAAATATAAAAATGGTATAAAACATGATAATCGCGCGTATGCAAGACAGATTTTTATCTCTAAAAAAAGAAGCAATGAACTTTATAGAATTCATTCCTTTACAACTCTATCATGGTATTAAACGAAATCGCACAGATATGCCTAAATAGGAAACATTTCTCTGAACGATGCAACGCTAATAAGATTGTCTTTAATATCACTGCTATCTCTCTTTACACATCTTACAGCCATAGATTCTTACACATACATTATTTGTGGCATATTCATCCAATTATGACGCTGTAAAAATAAATCTGTTACACGAAATATACCTTTTTATCATCTCTTTTCCTTTATTCTTAACGTATAAAAATATATTATCAAAAACAATATGTGTTTTATATCTTCTCAGGTTCAGGCAGTTATATTCCTCTTATAGTATTTATGTTTCTGATGTATGTAACTGAAAATTATTGGAACAGCTTTAGTGATGATTGACAAAGCCCAAGTATTCATTAGAGAGTTACTTACAGCGTCAGCTATGTCGATCCAGTCTAAAGCAGCTGAGAGAGCATCATTCTTAGATGGTATCCTGTCGTAGTTCCAGTATGTAAACTGTGAGAAGGTTCCAGTACAGTATAAATTTCGATTCTTGCCTTCAGTGTCTGTCTTCTTGTTCTCAACGAACGTCATGCCCTTGTAGCCAGCAGGTACAGTCACTTTCTTTCCTTGAAGAGGATAACCACGGAAGGAGCATTCATAATCTGCAAAAGCAAAAGATGAATCAGTGCCATAATAGTCACAATCTCTTCTTATTCCCGTATCGTTGCAATTATCACATTTGGTTAACCTATCAAGTGAGAAGTGTCAAAGTTAAGGAAGCGTAACAACTCCACTCAAGTGTTTGAGAGAACGTTTGTAGGAACACGTTCTATCACGATTAATATTTTATAGATTTAAACACACATCTCATAGCTTCAAACACGATTTAAACGAGATACTGGAGGATATATTTTTCGTTCAAACTGCTTACGCTCTTCGTCCACCTTACGTATGTAAGGCTTGAAGAAGGAGGAGACCTTTGCCGATTCGTCTCCGTGAATTTTGCACGGCATCAGATGTAATTCGGAATCCTTCTGACTCGCTGGATCCTTATTAATGTGCAAACGTACAGCCATGTTAATTTAATACGATATGATGCAACAATTATAACGCGATAACTTTACGCGGGAAAACGTTAATAAATCGCATCACAATGATCCGCTTGTCCCGTTCGAATCAACCAATAGCACGTCGCGATTGTCCCGTTCAAACCAACCAATAGCTCTTTGTGTTACTGCACTCCCCGTTGGAAAGCGGACATAACCATTGCACCACTGAATGCAGATTGTTTCTCTTCAATTTAAGTTATGCAATATTTCTCGCAAACAATACCGCGATATCACCGATAAGACAAAATATAACAAACATGACGAGATCACGAGTTGAAACGTAAACGTGACTACTGAATGAAGCGGCATTCGCAGATCCGTCTTATTAGTCACTTCAAATTCCCCGCGCAAACTAATCGCTCGCTCCGATTGGCCGTAGCGGGGGAGGCCGATAGTGGGCGCAGCCACCCTCGAGTCGAGTGGAGAAAACGAACGCAGTGGGGCGTCGCGTCGCGTCGATCTGGCAGTTGGTTGCAGTTAGTCGATCGCGCAGTTACTTTCGTATAGCTCCTGCTCTTCTTCCCGGTCTCGTTGCCCTCCCCACCTCGCTGCCGAGAGCGAAGAGCGGTGAGAGCGTCGGAATAGCGCGCGCAAAGCGAACAACTGTGAACAAGAACGGAGAACAAGTGATCGTCGCCGTGGTCGATCGTCATCGGTGCGAGCGCGAGCAGGAACCGAGGGGAAGTACGGTCGTCGAGGAGAAGAAACAGAAGCAGAAGAAGCAGCGACGTGCGAGATGAGCACTCCGGTGAAGAAGGTGCCGATTCATCTGCAGGTGAGTACGATTTCACACATACAACGGCGACGGTCCATTAGCTACTTGTCGCGTACGTGTCGTACCCCCCGCGCGCGACCCTCGTCGGCTTTTGCGCGAGGGTGGAAGGAAATCGTCGTTCTATTTCCGTGCACGTCGCGTGACGCTGCTCCTGGCGGCGAACGAGCGAGGAGAATGAATTCGCGACGTCGCGACAAATCGCTCAACGGAAATTACGGATGCAACATGTCGCGTTGCGGGACCGGCCGGGGTTCGTCGTGAAGTGAGCTTCGATCCGCCCCGCGGCAGCGATGATTTGCGTCGCTCTCGAACGCACCTGTCTCGCAATGGTGGACTATTGACACGGAGGCGCCCGGCCTTCGTCGATAATTCAACGATAAACACGCACGCGATCTAATAAGCAATGTCAAATGATCGTTCGTGGGGACAAATCGTGGCTATTCGCACACTTCAGTTCTCTTTCAGTCGCTCCTTTTTTAATGGAAAATTTTAAGGTTAAATCTTACGAAGTTTTACGGCGGATAAAAGTCGCTCCATGAATTTTTCCCTCTTTGGGCAGCGGCGTGGCAGGGTTGATAAAGATGACGGATTGAAATTCACCCCTACGCCGAAATCCCATCGCCAGCCTCAAACGGGATCTTCATGAATTTTGAGAGTTGACAAACAGCTCGGCGTCGCGTTAAAATATTTCAAAAAATTCAGGAATTTTGTCTCGAACGTGCAAAGCATGATAAATTTCTGACTCGCAGGATTGCGATCCTTAATCACGTCTGTCGAGAAATCCCATTATCGAGGATCACTTGCAAACATAAATTTCTCGAATAAACATTAGTTCTCGGGCTAAACGTAAGATTGCTGCGTTATTGGGGTCATTGATTCGTCGAAGAACTTGTTGCATTAACGGTATTTGATGTCAGGGCTGCGAGTTATAAGTCGATCTTCCATCTCTATGTTAATAATTCTAATTGATATTTATAAAATATGTTAATTTCTTTCTCGCAACGTATCTATTAATTTTTGCGTCAATCTCTAAATTTCATCACTTTGAGCCATCCGTAAAATTCGGAATTTTATTTCTCCGAATCGTCGTGAATTGTATCAATATAATCAGACAAATTAGTTATTAAATTTTGTTTCCGGGTTTGAGCCGCGTGCATTCTCTTTTGTCTGATTTCGATGTTTCGCGAACATTTCAATTCGCTTTATCAGGGAGGAACGATCCTCCCTGATGAAGCGGACTGAAATGTTCGCGAAACATCGAAATTAGACAAAGGAGAATCCACGTGACTCAAACCCGGAAGCCAAATCTAATATTCATGGACACCGCGAAAGCCTCAAACATTAAATAAATTAGTTAATTGACAAACTATCCGGGCTAACTTGGTTTCCGTCTAAATTTTTAGTCGCCATGCAAAAGGAGTAAGCACAACAATCGTAGAGAAATAATGTGAAAAATTAAAGATGCACACAATGCGAAGAAGAGAACGTGAATAAACAAGATTATCATTATGTAACGACATCGCAATCGGTAAACAATATCCCGCGTAAGAGAATTCATGAAATCGCAAGAGACTCGCAGCTCGTTCCCGACATAATCAGACGAATCACGAAATAAACACCTCGCGCGATAAGGAACACTATCGCGTCTCTTGCTCCCTGCAATGTAGAGATTAACCGCGACTCACTCATCGATAAATCCATGTGGGCTTGACCTGTAAAATCATCGCGTATGGCGTAATTCGTACTGATAAGTCGACGATAATAAATCTCGTCGGTGAAAAACAAGCGCTTTTACACTTCGTTCATTATTTTAATTTAGATCCTTAGACATTAAGCAACAAGGAGACGAACAGGTAAAATAGAGATTAAAACGGATTTAAATGGGTAAGTAATTAGCATCCCTCTTGTCGTAGACAAAAACATTATCAGACTACTTAAAGCAAGACCACTTGAAAGGATGGAGGATAAGAAAGGAGAATAAGAGATATCGACAATCCAAGTTACTTATGAACTAATTCTCGCTAAACAGAGCGAAAAAATTTCTAGCCATAAACTGACAAAAGCTGCACGGAAAAAAAAGATCTGCTACATATAGACAACTAAACATAATTTGCTATATTAGCCACTTTTTCTTTACTGCAAAAGCCAATTTCTTTGCTATGATAACAAGAATGCTGAAACAACAAAAAAATAGCTAAAGCAGTAAATTATGTTTAGTTGTCCAAATCTGTAGCAAATTTGCTACGTTAGCCACTTTTCTTGTTGGAGCAGACTTTCTTGTTATCATAGCAAGAAAATAGGTTTCTGCAGCAAAGAAAAAGTAGGTAACAGCGAATTATATTTAACTGTTCATATATAGCAAATTAGTTTGCTGGTGCAGCACATTATTTTTTTCCGTGTGAGAATATATAGCCTCTTAACAGAACGTGCAACTCTCAAGGCACACATGTGTAACTTTAAACTAACCAAGCGAAGAGAGTGCCGGTTATGCGGAGGTGAGAAAGAGGATAGCATACACATTTTGTGAGATATCGACTTCGAGAAAGTATGTTCCTAAAACCTGAAAGCAATGAGGTATTGATTTATTTATTAAAAAATAAATAAATAAAAATAAATAAATATAATAATAAAAATAAATAAATAGCCTATTAAGCCTAAACTATAGTTATTACCGCCATAACAAAAAACAATCGGCGGGATGTGACAGAGGATCCTCAGGGATCCAGATGACTCTAGGAGCTGTCAAAGCAAATCTATTGCAATCTACTACTACTATATTTCGTTCTATTTACGGCTTTAAGACCGTCACTTAGAGCCGGCTTTTCAATAGCAGTTTAAACTTTGATTCAAGTTTTCTATTCTAACGATGGGTTTGTTTTGTTTAAACAGAGTTTAAGTTGAAATCTAAGTTTAAACTATCATTGAAAAATCGCCCTTAGAGTCGTAAAAATGTTTTATTAATTTTCGAGAGAGCACAATTGGTCACATTTGCGGATTGTTCGGCTCGATATTTCCTGTGTGAAATAAGTATAAATTGATGCGAGTAGAGCGATGAAGCTACGATTATTTGTCAAATAAGATCGAACGGCGAATATCGTCGAGCTGCTTTCAATCCGAGCCGATCGGCTTAATCGACGTGGGGTTGCGCGCGGGAAACTCGCAAAGCCGCATTTATCTTATTGAGGTTATCGTTCAGGTTATGTATGTGCATGCGAAACGACGTGTAGGCTCCTCTAATCGGAGTAACATAATTCCGCGTTCAAAATTAATCAGGATTGCTGTCGACTAGAGACTAGGTCGCTTGTTTTTCCTTCACCGAGTTGCGAGAATTACATGCGGTCTCGCGGGTTGATCGATCAAGGAGCGCGCCTGTGCATCGTCGACGTAATTTTTGCTTTTAGATGCGAGAGCGTATCAGGCGATTTCTTTTAATCTATAGAGAGATAATTCCTCGCACGCTCGATATGCGCGATAAATGACGCGATTATGCAACACGACTCAAGGCGCAGCAACGAGATCGCTCATCGTTCGCGGATACGTTGACTTGCTCGGCCGAGAATCCTAGTGTTCGTTTTTCTCTTTCTTATTTTGGTTATCCAGCGAGTTTGTCGGATAAACGATTATATCGTGCATTTCGAGGGATCTTCGAGGCACTCTTCTTCCTCCCGTCGCGCCGTTACTCCAATCGGTATCAATGCGAGCTTCATAAATGTCTTATGAGGCGTGAAATTATCGGTCGCGCTCGTTCAATCAAGACGGTGAAAAGCTGCGGCTAATTCGCACAACCGGTTCTCTCTTTCTCTCCCGGCGAAGCGATATCTCATCCGTTGCAGATGGTCACCCTCTCGCGCGCGTCTCTGCGAGATTTTAAGCACATTTAATCGGAAACAAAACCACTATAAAAATGCAAAAACGCGCGCGTGTGCGTTTCGGATTTACATGTTGTTTTGCCACTTGTGAATGATGCATCGCGGTAGAACGACGCCTACGGCAAGCCTTGGCAACTATTATTGCACTCACAGAACTACGTGATGTTTTGCGAGGGATATACATCGTGCTCATAAGAGATGCGTACGTCAATATGATTAGAAAGACTGGAAGAAAACGATCACGAGGTTAATGCTTAGGTACGTCGTAGTTTCGCGCAGATGTCCGCGATACCGCCACCGAATCACGCGAAGTATAGGCCAACATTTGCAAGAACTGCGTACTTGTGTGCGCACAATGGCTTGTGAAATGGTTGATGAAGTTGGCAGCTCACTAAATTGTCAAAATTGAGAATCATTAACGACAGACTTACGCAACAATGATGTAATTGCTGGGCGAGCCTGTCGGTAATGATTCTCAATTTTGATAGTTTGGTGAGAGTTCCCAACTTCATAATGTCTGAGCCGTTTTGCAGGCCACTTGTACATGTCTACGACTTACGTCAGTGTATGTGCCGGCAACGAAAAAAGGCCTCATTATTAAGTCACGTCCGTATCGACGCGCTATTATTAGGAATTCGCTCTGTATTCTCGTTCCGACCTGAACGATTCTTGAAATTTTTGCGTATACGTAATTTTCATTGCGCAGCTATTTTATGGTATGAATTAAAACTGCGCAGTAAAGGTTACGTATACGCAACCATTTAAAAAATAAGGGCCCTGTGTGTTGCACCTAATAAAATATCGATGCACCTAATAAAATGTGGCGCAACGTGTGCGCACATTGCCATGTGTCGTTGCGGCCGCAACACGGGAAAACGAAAGTAATGTCGCAAGTCCGTGGTGTCGCAAGGTTGCCGCCTTATTGATCGGAATGTGTCTTTTCTTGGCGCTCGCCAAGATGGTCCATTTCGCGGACGAAACCGCGTCGCGACGCATCCGGCAAAAACTTCCCCAGCTTTTTCCCGTTCGAGCTCCAAGTTGTTGAAGCGTTCGCGAGAGAAAGAGAGAGAGAGAGAGAGAGAGAGAGAGAGAGAGAGAGAGAGAGAGAGAGAGAGAGAGAGAG